CTTTATTCCGCCGACGACGACGACGAGCGATGCTTCTGTCAGCGCGCGACCTGTCAAGACGCTCGACAACACGTGCTTCTCCGCGAACCGCACGACTAACGTGCGCGGGCGAGAGCACAGACGGGAAGTCGATCCTATCCTCCGGTCTCCCCCTCCTCCCGTCCCTTTCTACCTTTCCTGTTGCGACGACCGAGCTCTGTGCTGTGCGCCGGTAGCGGCGACCGGTTCGCAAACGCGTACGGATAGATGGATGAATGCTTTTCTGCAGTTTGCGACTCCGAAACGCGCACGCGCGCCAAGCAGCTGAGCGCGTCTCGAGGACCGTATTGTGCCATGCCACGAATGGAGATGAGAGAACGTTATCGAGAATATCATTATCCCTTTGTGTGTTTTACAGCTGAACTTGTCACGATTAAATAGATATTTATATTTATTTCTGAACAAGAGAGAGAAAGGGAGGAGGGAAGAGACTATGTAATATGAAAAAAATATCATTAAAGCGAACTGATCTCTCTCCTCGAATACTTTACACGCGATTATGCCTTACTTTAGTTTATGGGGATGTAAGCTAAATTCTTATTCGCATGAATAATGGAAGATTTTATCGATAGATTGTTGACAAGAAATTAAAATCGATTTTCTTTAACTTCTTTGTTTTTCCTTTACAAAATTCTTTTAAATGTATATTTCTTCTATTTTGAATAAATAAAAAAATACAACTCTCTACGAGTGATAAACAATTAAAAATTAAATTTTAAACTTGAATTCTGGAAGAATACAGATTCTGCAAATAATTTTAATGACAGATTGTCGAGAATAAAATCGATTTTCTCCAATCTCTTTGTTCTTTTCTTTACAAAATTCTTTTAAATGTATATTTCTTCCATTTTAAATAAATAAAAAAATACAACCCTTTACAAATAATAAACAATTAAAAAATTAAATTTTAAACTTGAATTTTGGAAGAATACATATTCTGCAAATAATTTGATAGGTTTTTAATTTGAGACTTAAGTGCAAAAATAACGCTGCGTCATTTTTCTTGATAATTACGTGCTAAGGAAATATCGATTCTTGTGAGATAACTAAATTTAAAATTAACACGCTATCGATAACTTTATAATTAAAAATGATTAGGAGATAGTATCAAGTAGCACCAATAACTAAAACACTTTTGAATGATATTAATATCTCGAAGAACGTAACGAAGAATAATGACAACGTTCGAAGGCATCGATATCCAGGTAACTAGAACTGATTAGTAGAAGATAGTATCGAGTGGCATTAATAACTAGAAGACTTCTGGATTACATCGATATCTCACTAACAAAAGATAGATAACAACATTCAAAGATATATAATATAATAACATGAGATTTCGGAGCAATTTCATATTCTTGTTACAATCTCCAAATAAAATATCGATATCCTATTATTACCTATAAATTCGTCGAGATTGATTTATACGATATTCCCAAAAAAAAGCGACTCGACTATTCATCTAGACAGCTTAAAATACAGACGTTCTCTCTTTGTAACTTTTTATCATAATAATTATCAAAATCAACACGCTGCCACTCTCGTTTCCTCTCTGCACCTTCTCTTCATGAAGCTTCCGACAAACCGATATGACTTGGGTAAACTGGACGAGAAAGCTGCTTAAAATTTCAGTCGGGCACGAGGACCTTCGCTCGCTTAGGTAGACGAAGTTACGACACATTATCGAGTCTTCGAATTTCTAGAGCCTAAAAAATCCCCGACCAAGCGGGCCCGGACCGGATCGGTTCCCGCCAATGGCAAGTGTAACCTCGGCTCGATCGCCAGTGAGTCAAGGGCTTAGCCTTAGCGGCCGTTATGCAACTGCTGCCTCGCGTTTAGCCGATGATCGCGCGAGCACGGCTCAACAAAGGTGCCCGGGACCTGTAATTATCGGCGTGTATCGTTAGCGGATTAATCGCGTATCGGTTTAAAAAAGGAGAGACGGAGAAAAAAATAGCCGTAACTGCGTCTTTGACCTTTCGCGAGCCGAGTAAATGATGCGATTATATTAGCGATAATAATAGGCTCTAGAAATCGAATCAAATTTCCGCCAAGATAAAATAGGCCCCAAAGTGGACGGCGTTATGCAAAAGTGAATTACCTCGCCGAGCGCTTAATTCGGGATAATTTCAAATGAAAATGTTTTATGTATCGCCGACGAATTCAGAATCATGCGTGTGTATACGTCAATCTTGAAAATTCCATTCATTTTAATTCGTTTAACCGACTTTTGCATAATCTCGTTTCGCGTCATTTAGTCGGGCTAATAATTGTTGAATGAAAAGAGCGTGGCAGAGGATTTTTCTGTGTTTTATTATATGCACGACTGTACGTGTGGCACAGAATTATACGGACGCTGTAAAACTTGATAAAAAAATTATAACACGAGCTTCTCCTAAATACACGCGAAATTGGGCTATTTTTTCGCGAATTCAATTCCCGTGGAAAATCACGCACAATGCAATCTTCTAGCCAACGTTATATATGCGAGAAGCGGATACGCGAGTTTTTTCCGCATTGAACGCGAACATACATTATGCGTGAGATTTGATCTCAAGTCGGGAAACGATTGACTCGAGAGGCGAATCGGATTACATCAAAGAGAAGGCGTCGAAGAAGCATACGAGCTACGCGAAATTTATGAGATTGGCCGAATTTATCGAGTCGTACGAAATCTCTCAGGTGTTACTCACACCTCAAAAAAGCTGTCTCAGGCAATTCGAATTATCTGAACGATGTCATATGATCATACGTACCGCACGTGTATGCAACTGTAATAATACACATGAAGTGTATTAGCGAGCATTTCTCGCAAACCTCATTTGTACGCAAATTATTTGATTTAATTCCACAATTATTTTTCCTTGAAAAAAAGAAAAAGACATAGAAACACGAATAGTTCTAAATTAAAAAAATTTTCTTATTTTTGATAATTGGGTCAATAGAATTATTCATTTTTATTTCACTATTATACTATTGCGTTCTTGATTATATAAAAATGAATAGAAAAACTTCAATTTCAAGGAAATTTCATTTTCATAGAATTTCATAGAATTAATAAGTGGTAATGAATGTATCAAAAATTAAAAAATTATAAAAAAGCTACTCAATTAATTTAATATCTGTACAAGCAAATGTTTCAATAATTACGTTCAATTTAACTCTGCTTATATAATAGTTCTTAGATAACAAAATAAGTATACATGCATGTTTAATTAACATTCTGCGAGGGGAGCTTTTTAAATGATAAATCTCGTGAGCATAGCAGATACCTCGCAAAGGTGTTAAGAGCAAGACTTTATTTTTTCATTTAGTCTCGATTTCTCCTCAGGGAAAACTTTATCCGAGAACTTTATTATTGAATCATATACCATTGGAAATTAAACAATAGCGATCGGACATTGTTCCAAAGGAATAACAGAAACGAATTTTTATATTAATGGTCGATATTTTTCTTAAATTTAATTAGTTATTTGACCATAAAATTGAGGATTTGCAGAAGATTCATTTGTTTTTTAAAATAATGTAACTGTGATTAACAATCATCGTGCATTTTTTTCCTAAATATATTTCAAAATAAAAAAACTAATAATAACAATTTCAAAATTTCCTTCAATTTAAAATTTAATATAAGTCATATTTCATAAATGCTATAATATAAACTACAATGGAATAAATATAACTAATTGTAATGATAAATTTGCCTATGTATACAGAGATTTAATGCTATAGATATTTCGCAAGGCAAAGAAAGATTGGTTGCTACCAGAGAGTGTCGAAGCAGAACTCGTTAAGAACGAGTTTTTTAATGTTACGCGAAATTCTTATTAAACTGGCGACGATGTAATATCGCTTTCGAAAATACTGTCGCTCTTTCTTTCGTTTAGATCGATAGGGGAATATATGTCATTTATAAAACAGGGCGACCTTTATGAGAGATTCGTTCGCTCTACAAATCTCTCAATAATCCTGAGTGCTTTCTCAAATATTTCATCGTCCTTGCGCGGATTCTTCTACACACGTCTCGATCCGAAAACAACTTTGTTCAATATTTGATATTTACCGATCAATTTCCCGACGAAAAATGCTGACAACAAATGACATTCTCTCCGACCATCTTCTGTCTTTCTACCGTCTATATCTAATAATTATATAAAAAATAGCTTCTCACCTTCTCATTTTAACAAATAAGAGAAATAAATAAAACACACTTGTATGAGATACACAGGAGTCACGAAAAAAACTGTGAAAATAATATCGTTAATCTAAAATATTTTATTGTCTACTTCAAGTAAGAACGACTTTATAAAATGTCCTTTGGCGATCGTAAAATTGTCATCTTGTCTTAATACCGAGCAGTTATCTTCAATTTTATGACCCGGGAGAACGATAAAAATTTGTATAATTTTGCAAGTGAAACGTGAGTGTTCTTAGATAGCATTTTATATTATTTCGTCAGCAATTTAATCATAGAAATTTAAATCCCTCTTGTTACGTTATTAAGATTTAGAATTTCTATCGTTTTTCTATCGAAAATTTTAAATTTTTATTTTTGCAATCACTGTAAAAAGGTATGTTTTAATTTCCATTTCAAAATTGTGTAAAAATAATTAAATATATAGATTATTAATTTTCTATGAAATAATAATTATTTTTATCTATTTGAAAATATTTTGTAGTTTAACATACAATCAGTCATGAAAATTACATAGTGTATTTTCTAGAGAGGATTTTATAATGTTTATCCAGTTTTGAATTTACCTAGATGTTTAATAAATATAATAACGACTGCGATTAGTATTTTCTGACTGATTATAATATCTCTACAATCTTGTCATTCAAACCGACAGTTTATTACTAAGAATGGAAAAATAATACTAAATATCGACACGGCACGTTCCTATGATGTCTGTTATCAATCATCGATTCTTAAGAGAAGAGAGAGAAATCAATCTTCTTACCTGATCGACGGTTCTCTGAAGGATCTGACATTTGTCAGTCTTGCCAGAGCTCATGTCCGTGGCGGAAATCAGCTCGGCAAGCTCATCGATATATAAGTTCTCTTGGGTCCGTCGTCTTTTTTCGTTAAGGCACTTGTTACTGAAACAATCGAAATGCAAAATTAATACATTGACGATCTCCGTAAACTTTATTTCATGCTTTAAATCATAAAATACTGACATTAGCAAATTCGTAATATTTTTAATGGCATATTTTTATGTACCAAAATTATGTCATAGGTAATAAATTTGATAATCACAAAATCATTTAAAAGAAATAAAAAAGAATTTTAAGTAAGAAGAATAAAGAATAAGAATAAAACGAGATAAATTTAAAAGAGAGAATTAAATTGAAAGAGAAGCTTTTGTGAAAAATATTTTATTATTATAGAATAGATTATAAAATAGCGTGATAAAATTACGTTTTTATAGGAATGTATAAATATAAAAAAATTATTTAATTTAAAACATTTATAATGCTCTAAAAAGTATATATAAACTTTTAAAGTACTATTCTAATCGCATGTTAATCACTTATTATTATTTCAGAATATTATTCCGTTACTAATACAATTTACTAATTTAAAATAAAAATTAATGAAAAGATACATTTAACTAGTTCTATAATTTTCTTTTGTTTTATCGATCTTTCGTTTTATTGAAGTAGTCCCCTCATACACATATTTATGGTAAAAAAAAATAGTTCAGTCCTTCTAAAAAAATGTAACCGACTTATAAATTTTGTCACAACATAGTTCGTGATGCAATTATGTTTGATATAAATTTTAATAAGAGATTTCTCTTGATTGAGAGATTCTGAGTTGATTTTTCATCGGAAACTTTAAAAATAGCCACTATCTGTTGCAAGCTTTTAATACTGCACATACCTTAGTGTTATTTAAATTAGTATTAAAATTTAATAAGAGTAAAGGTAAAGATGAACTGCTTGAAATGCAAGAAAGTTTCTTAGATTAATCGTAACACTCGTTTTAATTAAAAAATTATCGATTCCAAATTGATCAAAGAATCCGTTAAAATTATCAATGGATAGATATTTCACATATACAATATAATGCTGTTAAAAAATACAATATAATGCTGTTAAAAAATAAGCGATCAAAAATCTCGCGAAAAGATTCGACAATTTTATAAGAAAATTATATATATATATTAGATGCTGAATCAACTTCTTGTCCCGTTGAAACGTTCAGTTGACCTTGTGACGTCACGTCAGTCCAGCAGTGACTCTCACTGTTAACGCTATACTATTATTTTAATACCCCAATACGGCTGTCTTACTATCTTACTACACGCTTACATGAGTGAATAAATGTTAACATTAGTCACGGATTGAAAATCAGGATTAAAAAAAAACGATAAATTCTTTCGACGAGTTAAATTTTCCATCTATATTCCACATATTTTCTTTATATTAATATAAGTATTAAAAAAATTTTATTGCTGTAAATAAATCATGTCATGAAAATCATTCACATGTACCTCTCTCTGTAATATTTTATTTCTTTTTCTTTTCTGTGTATTAAATAATATATCTAAAAAATCCTTGCTGAGTTTCATTTTTAATACGTAATATTTTCAATGTTTAAATTATGAATTATTGAATCATATTGATAAATTGAGAGATATGTTCAATTTTTAATAAAATTTAAATATATCAAAAATATAAATGTATCAATTACAAATAATAAATCAATTGTAAATAATAAACTAAATAAATTATAATTTATTATAACTAAATTATAACTAAATAAATTATAATTCAAATAATAGTATTAAAAAATTAATACTTTTATATATTTTTTATTTTTTTTATTTTATTTAATACTACTTTTATATATTTTAATATTATTACACGAAAATAGTTTCTAAATCTTAATATTTTATAAATATTTTGCATCTGAAAATATTCCCTTTCCTCTAGTAATTATATTTGATCCATATAAAAAGATAGATTTGAAAAATTACAATATCAGAGAGAAGTACATGCAAATGATTTTCATGTAACATAATTTATTTATGGCAATAAAATAATAATACTTATATTAGCATAACGGAAATATTTCTCATATTTGTAATATTCAATACTAAAATATTAAAATAAGATTATTATGTTCTGCCTTCAATTGCATGTGTTTGCTAATAATAAATTATTAAACGAGATTACAAATGTTAGAGGAATGATAGTTAAATTTTCTGTATCACGTGTAAACGCATACGAATAATTTATTCGATAATTCAATAAAATTTTATTCATGAGCGACCAAATATTACTTTGACATTAAAGGCAGTTCAATTGATGAACGCTTAAAAACTCGCGCGCACGCGTTTGCCATTAATAATTCGATCGAAACGATAAGCTCTTTAGCAAATTGGATGGCAACGGATTACGGCATGTTCACCGACGTGTACAGATCGTCGAGCCTTTTAAATCACGGATTTCCAAACTTTAAAACCACACACCCTATTTAATATTTCAGACACCCATCTCCTAAATAAAAACTTGAAAAAAAATTAATTATAATTTCTGAAGTTAAATTAAAATAATAAAAAAACTTTTGTGATCAAGAAATAAATGTAAAAATATGAAGAATAAAAAACCTTGTGTTATTCATTTTTATTATCTTTATATAAAAATTTTGTTATAATATCGTAACATTTTTTTCGATGAATTGAATTAAATAATAATAACTCAAGACCTTTTTTCATCGACAAACACATTCTGTGCCAAATATGCAGTGGGGAAGGCTGATACTTATCGTTTACTATAGCATCCAAATTGCAAATCTGAACTCATCGTACTTCGAAGAGACATAAAAGACAGGAGATTGTGATACTCACATCTGCGACTGAGGCTTCGCATCTGATTTCTTTCTTTTCTTGGTAATGCCGCCAGTAATCGCACTCATTTTGACCCACAACGGGTCTTGCAATTCATACGGGCCAGGCCTGCAACAAAAGCGCAATCATGATTAGAGAAATACAGTAACATTTATATACAAAAGAAAAATTAATGTCGCAAATCATAATTTTCCCATGTATTGAAAGAGTCAGCTGTTTTTGGGATATCGATATTGACTTGTGGGAGTAAATAAAATTTTAGTAAATAAAATTTTATAAAAGAACATTTCAATCAAAATTATATTACAAGTGAACTTATTAGAGATAATGATTAAAAGTATAAAAAAGCAGTTTACACTATTTTTTAAAATTTATAATACGCAATTATGTATATTTTATATATATAATTTAAATAAAAAAAAATTGCAATAAAAATTTTTTTGAAAGTAGAAAAAGAAACTTCGTCACTTAACACAAATTTCAAGATATATTCGATTTAATCACCTCATATAAAGATAATGTCAAAAATGAATATTAAAAATATATTTGAAAAAAAGAACAAGATATAAATATTTATAACAATGTTAAATATTGTTAAATATACTCGCATCATGTTCTTTTTTAAGGATATTTTTGACGGAAATTCATTCCATCCCGAAGATGATTTTTGTATTCGAATTATCTCCCCGTGCTCGACTAATTTGTTACACGTGGACGAAATCCGCGCGTGCGATTCCTCCTCTATTCCCCTCTCTTTTCACCTCATTCTACGCATATATACAAACATACATACAAACACACACACACGTACAAACATATAATACACCGTTTCTTATACGCACACATATACACTGACGTTTCTTCTGCTTTTCATATTCTCGTTTACCTCGAAATCGACAGAAGCTTCTTCGAGACGAGAGTACATTGTGCTCGGTGAACGCAAAGTCGATAAAAAGGACTTTGCGAAGAGCGAGCGTGCCGGCATTATTGAAAAGGAATCGACTCCGACACCTACACACTTTGCTATTGATGAAGGTACAGGTCGGGACAAATTGGCAGTGGTGTTAAATTGTTCGGTAATCTCGAAGACAATTTGATTCGCATGATCGAGCACTCTCTCCCTTCCCCCGAAAACTTAAGTATCTCTTAAACCCAGCACCCTCCAAAGAGTACTCTAAAAAAGCGTATTTTAAATTCAACCCTCGCTGTTGCTGCTTTCACTGTTGAACACAGTGTTTTTTAGCCCGCCATATCTACAGTCAACATTATATTTGATAAAAACAGATGAAACATACAATAATATAATTCAATAAATGATGGAAAAACATAAAATTTTGAGAAAGCTTTCTTTTCGAAAACAAACACGACTAAGCTCGGAAAGTTTACGCGAGACGATCTTCAGACGTCTTTCGGATGCTTTTTAGACACCCTCGCGTCGTTCGGGCCCTTTTTCGCGACACATCGCGCGATGATTCTCCGTTGCTTTATCGAAATTGGATTCACCGGGGCCGCTATAAATACGTGGGGCGCGCAAGAGCGACTCAAAATAATGCCTTGGATTATTCCGGAGGTGTAATGCAGCGTGCGATTCCTTGAGATCGTCCTTTTTTTCCTCACGTTCTCTGCGGCCACGTCGGTTTATCACCGCGGCTCCCTTCGCTCTTTGTGTATCCCTTTTCGGTTCGTTTCCCACGAACCAATAAAATTCCTTTATGACGACACACACGCGTCGGCAACGTTATAATAAGCCGGGGAATCGGCCGCTAACGAAGTGCCTAAAGATAACAGATAATCGCGGTAATGACTGTCAGCAGAGCAATTACAAGCGTCCCGAAAGCCAACTTTCGTTATCCGCAGAATATTTCTGAATACGTATTCTCGTAAAATTCGACTCTCGATGTTGCCGTAATCTATTTTAATCTCGCCCTCTAATTTTCAAACAATTTCCTCTTCAATTTAATCATGATCAATTTGTTCATGATATAACAATAAATAACAAATGTTACGCAATCTTAGGACCCCCTGTATACTTGGCAAACAAATCAAACGATCGTATTGTACTTCCTATCAAGGCACTTGAAGGTTCGAGATAATAGCTTACGCGGGTTTACGCATGAAATTATTTGTTTACTCACTTTACATAATCACGATGTATGGCTATGGAAATCTCTTAAATTGTAAAAGAGATTGTGATTATATAATTTTTATAAATTATAAATTACATAATTTTTTTTATTCGCGATTAATAAAATTATATAATTTTTGTAAATTATAAATTACCTCATTTTTTTATTCGCGATTAATAAATAATAAACAGAATGCTTCTGATCGATTGGATATTTCGATAGGATACGGTGCGATACATCTGCGATTCTTTGCGATCGTTAATTTATCGACATGCCGATAACATAATTAACAAGTTGTAAAGTGCACAGGTTACTACATCGTAAATTAAACACGTTACATCACTTTTCTGACCGATACGCACACACTGCTTTTCGGCCACACTCCTGCTAATTTAACAAGACTATTCTTTCTAAATGCGTTTTGTACACTTTCTTTTATCTTCACATCTTCTTTTTTCTCTCTCTATTTTTAAAGCGTGAATATATGCTTATTTCATTAAACATGGTTAAGTAAAAATATATGGATAGTTTAACATTTTTTTACATTTTGCGAACGTTTATTTTTTATTAAATTGATATAAGATATATAATAAGTGAATTTAAATATAACAATTGAATATATTTTGGAAAAAATAAAATATATAATAATAAATTTCAGCGACAAAGATTTGTTTTTTTAGAAAAATAAAACTGTTGAGTTTTGTTCTTCGAATAAACCGTAGCATCTAATGTGCATATGATTTTTTAATTTAATGATGATACAGATAATTCGATGTCATATAATAATTTAAAAAATTCAAATTTGTTATATTTTAACAAACTTGAAAAGGAGAGAGAAAAATTAAGAAATATTTAAATGTTGAAAAATAATAAATAGAATAATATTTTAAAATTATAATAAGAAAATAAGTAAAAATAGCACAAAAAATTAAAACAAGGAATTTTATAGTAACATCTACTCGAAAATTGTGATCAAGAAAATTACACAATCTTTGCGCGAATCAATATATAAAAGACGTGTAACTTTAAACAGCATGCATATAAATATTGATGTTGAATTGCATTATCGGCAAAAGACTGACGAAAAATATATACAAAACATACCTTTACAGTACGTATTCAGTGAGTGTTATATCCGAAAAATTGACGATAACTTATATCAGGCGATCCTTACGTCATTTCATAATCGGTTTCGGATTTCGATATGACGCGACAAAAAAATATCGGACGGGGAATCGCGCATAAAATGTCCGCATATAAAATACTACAATTTAAACCTCGTTAATCGATAAGCAAGCGACTGACTCGAGAATGAATTTGTGTGCGTTTTAAGAATACGATCGTATAGATGTGTGTTCATGGATTAAAAGTCACTTTGACGAATTTGGCATCGAAAAACACTTCTCCTTCAATTTACAGATCATCGCATTAAACATTAATGGCAAGTTTTTCGATTCATTTATGATTGATTTCTTCCATAAAACATTCGAAAAATACCAATGCTTCATTATATCTTCATTAACGTAATATTCTTTCCAATTTATCGATCGAAGAATTCTTTACAAAATTAATATTATAACAAATAAATTAGAATTAACACATGATGTTTTAATAAATGTTAATGAAATTAAAATAACTAGCATATTCCTTTTATTATTAAGTCATAAGAAGAACTTCTTAAACTCTTTGAGTTTAAAAAGTTTTAAACTCTTTAAGTTACCTGAGCAATTTACACATTCAAATTCATAAAACATAAAACGTAAATTGAATAATTCTTACAAATATTATTAATTTGATAAAAATTTTCCATTATTTTAATAGTGTTAAACACAATAAAATCAAATTATTAATAATTACTGAAAATTAAATAATGATTCATAAATTTAATATCTTTATTTAATTTATAAAAAAATACTATTATTTCATTATAACTAATAACTTTATCATAACTTTATCATAACTAATTATTACCTGTAATAATTAATATATTATATCTTAATAACAATTTAATAACAATTGCATCTAGTCTTAATAATAGCTTTAATTGTCGACAATTTAAAGATAAGAAAATTATTTCGTAATAAATTACGTAGGAATTTTTTAAGTTGTATAATATGTGAGCGATATATAACGTCGAATTATTTTAGAAAATGAGAGGCATTAATCTATTGCTGGAATATCGACATTTTTAGTTTTAAGACGTTTAATAACGGGCTTATTGGCGGTTTTATGATAAAGTCGCGCAATTTCGTTCTATCTGTCGATTTTTATCGGGCCAAAATAAATATACTCTTTGACTGCCAAACACGCGGTATCGTTTGTTCCTAGTCTGCAAAATTAATTGTATATAACTGCGACTATTTCCATGTCTACGTCAATAACTTTGCTAAAAATGACATGGAAAAAGATTTTAAAAAATCCAAACAGCTTTGGCGATAACATTAGTTTTATTACAACAGAGAGAATCAACATGCGAAATATTTGAGCGAGATGGAAATATCCGACTATCAATAAAATATAGTACATTCAAAAATTTGACATCGACGGAATCATAAACAGGAAAATTCTGAAATAATTCTGAGGGGTATATTTTTTAAAACGCTCTTAAAGATATCCTTACATATAATGGATTGATATGAATAATAATGAAAAAATATAGTTTAATAAAAGACTTTCTCAACTTTCATAATTCATCTATTTTTAATAATTATTAATAATTAGTAGAAATGTTTGTGCTTGTTGTCTATTACAAGAGCGTGTGATTCGCGATGCAAATATATTTGTCGAGAGAAATCAGCTGGTCGCGCTTCGAAACATCTCGCTCGAGAGAAATAGTCACGTGTTGCATCTTGGGCTCTTAACACAATAAACGTTTAATATATATAGCGCAACATTTGGGGACAAGTGGCGATTAATCGAAAGTACGACCTTGAACTGCCTCGGTGGAATAATCGGACATTTTCGTAGGAGAGCCGGGCCAGT